GAAGACGGATAATAATACGAATAGTGAGAAGAAGAAGCAACATATTGCTATTAATAAGAATATGAAGAAAAGGAGGAGGAGGACTTGAGGTAGTGTGGTCTTGGGGCGCCTTGACCTCTTTAGTGGGCCCAGCTTCCTGGAATCGCCACCCTGAAGGACACGCTGGTCCGATGGTGGTTTTTGTTCCAGAACCCCTTGCAACAAATGGGACGAAGTGCGCAGGCGCACGGCGCGCGTTGTCGCGCGAGCATTCCGAAATCTCTCAAGCATCTAAGAAGGTGTCGTGAGTGAGGATTTCTCCATCGAGTGTCCCCAACACGTATAAAAGACCCATGGCATCGCAATTGGACTTTTCAAACAAGCTGGCGTTCGCTCTCTTGCGATCTCTGAAGAAAACAATGGGGTTCAACTTGTTCATCACACGTGACCAAACGTGCCTCTCGCGCGCGCATGTCGAAACCATTCGAACGCCCTTGCGCGCGTGCCGTCGCAGTAATTCCTTGCAGCAGATGAGACGAAGTGCACACGCGCGCGTCGTCGCGTGCGCATGTCGAACTCCTTCAAACAAGTGGGTTATCGGGTTTTAAATCGAGCGTCCTGAAAGATATGAAACAAGATGAGCCTGGCGAAGAGCCCTACCATACTCAGTTGTGAGTGCCGTCTTTGCGCGTATCGTCTTCGGTAGGTCTCCTTTTGGGGCCACGCAGCGTGCGAAGGGTGTGCCGACACGTGGTCGTGCGATCTGCAGTCGGACCGAGGTGTAAGATCGAAGTCGTTTCGGTGAGGGTACCCCAGTGTTCTTCATGTATATTAGATGTTATTGTGCAGCCTGTGGAGGGCACCCTGGGATGTTCTTTGTGCTTTGACCGACGGGGTGCTTATTATTGAGGGATGTTTTTCTGTCCCCCGCGTTGGGCCATGGAATCACTTTCTGAGGCCTAGCACCTTTGGCGCGCGAGGATATCCTGGATTCGGCGGAGCCCGACAACCAGCAGGAGGAGCTGATGTCAGGGGACGATCTGATGACGGAGTCTGGGAACAAGACGGGCGACGACAAGAACGAGACCCCCATCAGCCCGCTCTGCCTCGCGCTGTTCAGGTCGCTCAGGCCCTCGGCGCGCGGCTTGCCGCGCTTCGTTCCGACAAGAGCTTCCGGTGGCACACGTGCAGCTGTCCCAAGCAGATTGCGGAGCTCGCCCAAACAGGATCCCTCTGGGGGTGTCCGCAGCCGCCATCCCAGATGGGCCTCGAAAAGGTATTTCTCCAGGAGGAAAAACGAAGCAGAACAATGAATCGTCGATTCCCAGGAAAAGATGGAAGATTATGAGAAGTGGGGGGGAAACGAGACTCCAAAGAATAGATGGGGAATCCTGGGGTTCTTGTGTTTTTGCGCGTGCGTGCGTGCGTGCGCGGGCGTGCTTGCGGGCGTGCGTGCGTTGCGTTGCGTTGCATTGCATTGCGTTGTGTGTTGTGTGTGTTGTGTGTTGTGTGTGTTGTGTGTGTTGTGTTGTGTGTGTTGTGTGTTGTGTGTGTTGTGTGTGTGTTGTGTGTGTTGTGTTGTGTGTTGTGTGTTGTGTGTGTGTTGTGTGTTGTGTGTGTGTTGTGTGTGTTGTGTGTTATGTGTGTGTTGTGTGTGTTGTGTGTTGTGTGTTGTGTGTGTGTTGTGTTGTGTGTTGTGTGTGTTGTGTGTTGTGTGTGTCTGTTGTGTGTGTGTGTGTGTCTGTTGTGTCTGTTGTGTGTGGGCGGGTGGGCGGGCGGGCGGCTGGGCTGGGCTGGGCGGGCGGGCGGGCGGGCGGGCGTGCGTGCGTGCGTGCGTGCGTGCGTGTGTGTGTGTGTGTGTGTATGTGTTGTGTCTGTGTGCGTGTGTGCGTGTGTGCGTGTGCGTGTTTGTGTGTGTGTGTTTGTGTGTGTGTGTCTGTCTGTCTGTCTGTCTGTCTGTCTGTCTGTCTGTCTGTCTGTCTGTCTGTCTGTCTGTCTGTCTGTCTGTCTGTCTGTCTGTCTGTGTGTGTGTGTGTGTGTCTGTGTGTCTGTGTGTCTGTGTGTCTGTGTGTCTGTGTATTGTATCTGTGTCTGTGTATGTGTGCGTGCGTGGGTGGGTGGGTGGGTTGGTGGGTGGGTGTGTTGTGTGTGTGTGTCCCTGGGCCCCTGCAATCTTAGGTCCGACGTTTTGGCCTTCTGCGCCAGCGCGCGCGCGCCTCTGTGATAGTGAGCACCCCGCTCGGCCGCCCTGTCCAAGAGGGCCCGTGCTCGTCGCCACGGCCAGAGCCGGGACGAAGACTGGCTCAGGACGGCTGGGGTATACGGTCGGGCCGTGGTATGGGATCAAGGCCGGTGCGGGGAGGGTACCCTCCTCTCCTCCTCTTCCTCCTCCTCTTCCCCCTCCTCTTCCTCGTCCTCCCATTCATGTCCTTCGTGTTCGCTGGATATTCTTGTGCATCCCGGGGAGGGTGCCCTCGGATGTTCTGTGTTTTTTGGCCGGCGCAGAGTCTCGTGTTCCTGGAGGGCGCTCTTCCGTCTTGCGTAGGTCCGACCATGGACGCAGGTTTGATTTGGACCTTCCACCGAGAGCCGATCCCAACGGAATCATCGTGTGCTGCCCGCGTCTCCCACCTCCTCCCGCTCCTGGTCCCTGCCCAGACATCCGGCTGCTCTGATTGTTTCGATTGCGTGGGCCTCGGAGGTTTGGACCACTTCCCTGGGGCCAGTTCGTCGTCCTGAGTCGTTTTGTTGACGGTCCCAAGGCCCAGCGAGGGCCCCCGGATGCCGACAATAGCCCAAAGCCGCCCGCTCCAATTGTTTTGGAGCGCCGGATCTTTGGGTGCCCTCCTCCGTCTCCGACCCTCCAGGGATCGTCAAAGAGTCCTGGGCGGCGCCTTGGGGTGCAGGCAGGTAGGAGGAGGAGGAGGAGGAGGAGGAGGAGGAGGAGGAGGAGGGAAGAGGAGGAGGAGGAGGGAAGAGGAGGAGGAGGAGGAGGAGGAGGGAGGAGGAGGAGGAAGGAGGAAGGAGGAAGGAGGAGGAAGGAGGAAGGAGGAGGAGGAGGGAGTTGAGAGCCTTTGGATCCTTTTGCTGGGCTCTCGGCCTCTCTGCCTCCGCAGCCTTTTCCCTGACGGCGCGCAGGGGTCTTCTCAGAAGGGATGCACCATTCAGCAGGGGGCTTCCGGGAAGGCCTCGCAGAAGGCACCAAGGCCCCCAAGGGGTGGGCTGGCTTCCTGCATGGCTCCTCCTCCTCCGCCTCCTCCTCCTCCTCCTCCTCCTCCTGGATGTACCATTCAGCAGGGGCTTCCAGGAAGGCCTCGCAGAAGGCACCAAGGCCCCCAAGGGGTGGGCTGGCTTCTTGCATGGCTCCTCCTCCTCCTCTTCCTCCTCCTCCTGGATATACCGTTCAGCAGCGGCTTCCAGAAGGGCCTCGTGGGAGGGATGAAGGCTCCCAAGAGGTGGGCTGGCTTCTTGCAAGGCTCCCCCCTCGCCCTATCCGCGACCGAGCTCGACTCAAAAGCTGGTCCCCGGACCCAGACCCTTCCCGGCGCATATCCTGACAATTTGTTTCCGTTGCGTGCGGCCGAGACCATGAGAAACCCAAGAGACATTCAACACATCGAAGAGCACGACGTGGTCGTTGACGTCGTCAAGTCGTTCTTCTGAGCGCCACCATGCCAGAGGGGCACTGACGACAACCACAAGCTCAATTTCTGCATCAACCAGCACAAGGAGGCGGGCGCACCCGAGGAAGATAGAGCGGAGGAGGGGCCGGAGCGGGGGAGGGCAGGGGAGGAGAGGGACGATGAGAAAGAGGAGGAGGAGGAGGAGGAGGAGGAGGAGGAGGAGGAAGGCGCGAGGAGGATCCGTAGCCATTTTTGGCACAAGGCGGGCAGGCTGGATAGCCATTCGCTGTTCGTTCCATACCGTCGTTCTGTAATTATCTCTGTACTTCGTGTGTTCCGTCCATCGTGTGCGATTCGTTTCTGGCGCTCATCCGTTTGCACAAAATATTATTGCACGCTCTGGCAGAGCACTTGGATTGTCCTCGTCAGGGTTTTCGACAAGTTGGCCGGGTTCTCGGGCAGAGTGTTCACATCGGAAGCTTGATGGCCAAGCAGTTCGAGAGGATTGGCATTGCTTTTAGCTTGTCTCGCAGCGCAACCAGTAAGCACGTCGAGACGCTCGTAGACCGAGTTCGGATCGTGCTTGCAGGCGAACCACGAGACACTAATGGTCGTCGTCCTGAGCACCACGACGGAGCCACACATGACGATACAGACGGTCGGATGGAATTTTCGTGCACATGGGTATCCAGTATCACTGCGGGGCTGGATCTACAGGATGCCGCGCGGGAACAGCTGTGCTGTGCGTATCATCCTTGGTGAATTCAAGATGGGCGTGCGCAACAGCCCAGAAGGATGAGAAACCTGATTCTGTGAAGATGGTCGCCGCTATTGCTGCTTCAGGAGTTTGGCAGAAGTGAGGCACGTGGTCGGCCAGGAGGAGACCCTCAAAAGAGCCTCGTTCTGGGATCGCACCGCCCTCTCATGTTGCAAAAAGTAGTTGGCAGCAGCAGCAGCAGCAGCAGGTGCCAAGCATGCCATGCGATCAAGGATGCAGCGTCGTTTTCGTCGACAGACGAGCGCAGGATCCAACCCTTCCGCTTCTTCGGGGCCATGCGCAGCCAGGCCGCCAGCAGCTTCGCGCAGGCGAAGTCGCTCTGGTTCGACGCCACTGAGAAGAGCCGGGAGCAGAGGCTCGGGGTCGCGTATCCGCTCGGGCGCGGAGCCCTGCCGAAGGATGGGGGTCCAGGGAAGCGAGGGGCACGGATTGAAGTGCCGAGGAGGGCCGAGCTCGGTGCGACGGGCGAGCAGCGTCGACGCTGGCCGAGCTGCGATCGGCTCGCCGATGGGCTTCTGGGCGGTCGGGGGGACTCTAGCTGAGGTCGCTCTTTCGCTCTTGTTTTTGTTGTTGTGTGTGTTTGTGTGTGTCTCTCTCTCACTCTCTCCCTCTCCTGAGTTCCATAAACGTATACGTACACGCACTTTCTTATACATACCTATGTCTATGTATATGTGTATAGGTATGATCCAGGCTTGCACCCCCCCACCCCAGGTTCATCTGTGATAGAGCTCCCCCCCCACTGGATAGGTACGCCCGTGAGCCTCGCGAAGGCCTCGCGAATAGGATTCTCCCCCCTCCTGTGGTGCCCTGTGGTGTGGGTTGGTTCGTCGTCGTCGTCAATGTCGTCGTCGTCGTCGTCCCCCATCCCATCTGGGGGGGGGGGGCTGTGAACCCTCAACCCAGGATCATGTGTAGTCTCTCTCTAAGAGCGCTAGGGCCTCAGGTTTCAGAGCCCTTGAAGTGCAGCGCAGCGCAGTGAAGGAGTGAGGAGGAGGGGGAGGAGCGAGGGGGTGGAAGAAGGAGGGGAAGATGAAGGCGAGGAGGAAGATAAAGGCAGGAGGAAAAGGGAAGGGGGAGGAGGAGGGGACGAGGAGGTGGGGGAGGAGGGTCAGGAGGGCGCGTGGAGGAGAGGGAGGAGGAGCACGAGGGCAAGAAAGAAAGCTCGCACTACATGGGCGCAATGCTTCAAAAGCCTTTCCACCAGCATGAGTACATCGCATTGAACTAGGACGCAGAGGTACCTGACCCTCCGACTCCCACAAATTGCTGAACTACCTGACGCTACCATAGCACCAGACGTTCCACCTCCTTTGCTACCACATTTTCACCCTGCGCAGTCACCAGTAAAATTCATGAAAAGCTCACGCAGGTCATCGAGAGAATTGTGCAGCCGATCTTCTGCCCGACGTTCATGTCTGAATCGAATGTTGATCGCACCAGTTGATCGAATGTTGATCGGGACGCCTTGGCATACCCAGTTCTGTCTTGGTTGATAACACTCTAGGACACAGAAGTGGCATGGTGCATGTCCGATGTGTCTGCAGCTTTCGACCGAATTTTCGTCGACAGGTTAGTCGCGAAGTTGGCTGCGAGAGGGGCGCCGCTAGAAGATCTGCTGCTGTTCAGATCGTGGTTTGGCGTCCGGAGGGCCCAAGTTGTAGTAGAAGGATGCAGGTCGATCGAGATTTTGCTGGACAACATGGTGTTCGAGGGCACAGTCTGGGGAATGCATTTTACGCTGATTCTGCGGAGCCCATGACAACATTGAAATGGTACGTACTGAAACTGGTTTCGCCGATGACCTCTACGCGTTTCGGATGTACGGGGCCGCTGCCGGCCAGGCCACTATTATCTGCGACATGGACGCCTGTCAATATGAGCTCCGCAGGTGTGGCAAGGCGACCCAATTTCACCTTTTGGCGACAGCAACGGATCACATCATATCCTGTCCAGATCTAAGCCATATCGTGGTGATTTAATTTAGTGTTGGGCGCATCCGGATACAAAGCTGACCGTGACCGACTCCGTGCTCCAGCTGGCGAAGGATTGTCCGTGGAAGTTGACAGCGGTCTTGAAGGTTCTGAGATACAATAATTACGGGTGTTGTTGTACAAACACAAGCGTTGTCAATCATAGAGTATTGGAGTGTTGCGATCCACCACCCTTGCAACTCAGCGGTGGAGGCGTTGACCGAGGCCGCTAGCGCAAACAAAGTAGAGGCATTCTTGGCTTTCAAACTTGTACACATGTCGTCAAGACGAGACATGGCGATGTTCGGCCTGATCCACCGGCTCGTCCTGTGGAAAGGCCCTGAGCACCTCGAGCAGTTCTTCAAGCAGGACTCGCAGGCGGGAGCGAAACAGCCAGGGATACATCGTTTGCAATTGATTGAGTATTCCAACGGGCACTGGAGCGACTTCTCGTTGCCCATATCGCGCCCGCCTGATTACATCAGAAATTCGCCGTTTGGGACGTCTTGTATAAACAACAGGCTGCCGCCAGGAATCCGTGAGTCTTCGTTCAGCGCGTCACAACACAACTCCCGAGTGTTCTGCAGAGTACCACCGCCGAGGCAGCGCACTCAGGCGCTGACGACTGGGAGCTCACCTTCAGCCCGCGCGTGCCGTGGCACCAGCACCCGCTGAGGAAATGTCGAGAAGCCCACGTGTTGAAAAGTCCACGGCGCCTATGAATGCTTCGGTTGCGCTTCGCTCCAGGCGTAAATGATCTGGCACTGGCTGTGATACGTGCGCGGTCTGCAGAAAAGGAAGACCTGTACTTTTTGTCCCATCTCCACGGGTGTGCGCATGTCTCGTGAGTCTTCTGAGTAGAAGTGTAATGTGGTGTACTACGCGATGCAAGCTACATGGTGCAAGCTTTGTAGTGCAACTTTTGCGGTGTAGATTTGTGTGTATACGCACATGCGCACGTACATGCATACGTATATGTATACATACATAATACGTGCATGCGCACATACGTACATACATTCGTATACACACACGTACGTACGCACGTACATGTGTGGTGCCCACGAGGCGCACACGGGCGGGCACCAAGCGAAACTTCGGCAGACCCACCCAACACGAGGCGTACGCGAGGCGCCCACGGGCGGGCACCAGGCGAAACCTCAGCGGACCCACCCAACACGAGGCGCCCACGGGCTCCCACCATCTAGGCACAAAGCGAAACACGCGGTGCCCCATGAAATTCTCTAGGGTATAAGAACGCCGAATTGCACAGATCGGATAGCAGCACGCAGTTGCACGAATTCGAGTTTAATTCAAAATTCTGGACGCTGTGCGTAACCCCACCAGGGTCCTCACGTCAATTCGTCAGGTGCGTGGTTCAGTGGAACCCGCTTCGAGCGCTCCGTGAGTGAGACTCGAACACGTGAGGTGTTCTGTGAGTGAGGCCTGGTTTCCTCCCCCCCCTCCCCTCGTCGCCGCCCGTTCGCCCCCTCCTCCCCCTCCTCGTCGTGTTGAGCTGGCGCCGTCTCGGCGATTCCTCACATTCCCGACGCTAAGATGCGTCTCCCTGAAGACGACGAGTTGTATTGAGGCTGGTCGGGTTACGCTTTGTACCGGCCCATGAATATATTTTGTCGTGTTGAGCTGGCGCCGTCTCGGCGATTCCTCGCATTCTCGACGCCAAGATGCGTCTCCCTGAATTCAGTTCATTTTGTTCTGTGCATGTGCAGCTGCGAGCTTTCGCCAATCATCTGGCTCTGTGCCCCAGCCGGCCCGATTGACCCGCCCTCTGGACTCTTCCTTGCGGGCCGCAGATCAAAAAAATAACCCTACCAGCCCATCCAAATGCCCGTGCGAATTGCCCTGATCAGGCATGTGGGGGAGCACGCAGCGGAATAAAGGCTGGGAAGCCATCGTACCCCAAGAGATTGAGGATTGAGGAGGAACCAAAAAAGGAGGAGGACGAGGAGGAGGAAGAGGAGGGGGAGGAGGAGGCAGAGGAGGAGGGAGAAGAGGGAAACGGGAGAAGGTAAGAGTAGGATTGGGTAGATGAGTAAAACGAGGAGGAGAAGGAAGAGGGCGAACAGGAAGGCCAGAGGCCTCTTGAACGGTTCGCGGAGTGCCCTGATGTTTCGTGAGAGTTTCTTGTAGGGTTGTTGAGGCGTCTTGGGGGTCTCTTGGCGACCACAGGGGGGCCTCTTGGACCGTTTTGGGTGCTTCGGGGGGGCATCGTGGAGGTTTCCTGGGAACCTGGTTGGGACATCTTGGGAGCATGTGGGGGGCCTCTTGGGGCTTCCTGGGCGCATTTCTGGGGCCTTCTTAGGCCACTCTTGGGAGCCTCGGAGGCCATCTTGGGGACATATTGGCGAAGATCGATCAAAGCACGGGCCGTAGTAATGTAGGGCCCAACATTTTTGTAATTGATTTGGGCACTTTCGCCGAGGTCCAAATAAGACCTTCTAACATCCATCTTGCGAAACGCCCCGTCCCAATCCAGGCGGAGGGGGTCGGGGGATGGGTCGAGGCCCCCCCTTCGCCCGCTCCCACCCGCCCTCACAACACATACGTGACGCCCGAGGGAGTCTCTGCGCATGGCTTAGGAGCGCCACGCATGCCATGTTCGCCACGGGCTCCAGGTGCACAAGGCACCCTGGAGGCCCAAGCGAGCCAGACGCGCCCGGTGCGGCGCGTGCGCCACGTTGAAGCCACATGCTGGCACCCCCGCCGCCTTTGTCGAAAACATATGCAACATGGTCGCGGGGCGCCCGCGCACGCTCCAGATGTGGAGGCAAAGTGAACTCGTACCGTCTTTTGACAGGGATGGCTGGCCTGCGCGCAGCGGGCATTATGACAGTACCCCCGCCGTCCTTGTCAAAATCCATCCAAAGTTGTCGCGGAGCGCCCGCGCATGCTCCGGATTTGGAAGCACAGCGCGTTCTGTATAATTTTTTGAAAAGGGTTGGTGGGGGGTGGGGCGGGGGGCATGTCTCGGGTTGGCCCGCCGTCGGGTGGGGGAGGGGATGTGTAGTGATAGCGAGCAGTGATGAACCCTTCCCCGAAGGGGAGGAAGAGGGGGGGAAGGAGGAAACTCGCTAAACCACCCACGCCCTGAAGGCTGGTGGGATTAGCCTGACAAAGGGCCCAACGGTAGTAGTTCATTGTAGTGCAAGGATTTGCCCTGTCCTCATATAGTGCGCGCCGCGGGAGGGGTTGGTTGAGCGTGGGCTCCATTTGGGAACGCGATCCGCGTGAGGGGTGTTACGGAATCGGTGGGAACACGCAATGCGCAATCTTTTTCTCGGGCTAAAGGTGGAGCTTCCTGTGGGGCACGATGCGCGTGAGGGGTTTGCCGAAATGGTCGTGGGGACGCTTTGCGGGCGCCCTCACTGGGGTCGTCGGTGGAGCCTCCAATTGGGGGCGCGAGAGCGGTGTGTCGAGAAGGGCGGGGTGACGCTGCGCGGTCGTCTGCGCCGGGGCGGCAGGTGAACCTCCCTGTAGGACACGATCCGAAGGAGGGTTGTGCCGAAAGGAGCACGGCGACGCCATGTGTGCGCCCTTGGTGGTGCTGTAGTCGACTACATGTAAGAGGGACCCTTCGCCGGAGTGACCTTTGGTGCGGGATCATTTGGGCCCCCCCGATCGCTGAA